CCCCCACTCCCCACCCCCGCACTAGCAGGGCTTCGCAAACTCAGATGCCTTACAGGGGCATAGCAGGTAACAAATGCCTAAAGCGGGCCAGGTGTAAAGCACAATACAGTGCAGCCAAATGTAACACCACAGCATGGTGGGCCACACAAAGATCCTACTGGCCCCGGAGATACCAGTTGCAACCACTGTCTTAGTAAAGTGGTTGGGGGTCTCAGTCTCGAGGCCCAAATCAGTAGACCATCCCTCCTCCCCCACTCTTCCCTCTTCCCTTTCTGGCCTCCAACTCTTTTCCCAAACATCCTAGCTTAGGAGTCAAGATACCAGGTCCCCCTACCTGCTGTTTTCTTCTTCCTATGTCTCAGTTTCCTCACCTGTATACTGAAGATGAGGTCATCTCTACAGGCCCTTCTGGCTCTTCCTCTGGTACCCCCATCTTTTTTCTTCCCTCGTACTCTTAATTCTCTCTACCTATGCTTTCTCTTTCCACATTCTTAATGTCTGTCTCCTCTCCAACCTTCCCCTTTCTTCTCTCCCACCTCTTCTACTCACCTCTCTCCATCTGTGACCCATTTTTCTCTCCCCATCCGCCCTCTTCTAGCTCTGAAAGGGGGGAAGGATCTAGTAGCATGGGAGCCCCTGGGGTTGGGAAAGGCTGCTGTCAGAGTACAGGCTCCTCTACTTCCCTGAATAATCCCTGCCCGGGCTGGGGCTTTATGAGGAGAGGCACAAACCTCCTGGAGCCTAGATTTTGAGGGCTGATGACTTACCTTTGTTGTCCCTATGATTATTCTGGGGACCTTGAGTGTCCCTGGGAGTCCCAACAGTAGGTAGATCCTCTAACTTCAGAGAGTCTTCTTCTCCTGATTCAGTCTTCATTCCAGGTGGGCCCTCCTCTCCAGGTGGGTCCTCTTCACTGGGCAGGTCCTCCTCGCCCAGTGGGTCATCTTCCCCAGATGAATCTCCTCCCAAGGAAGGAGTCCTCTGCATCCTGGATTGGCTCTGGGGTTGGGCAGGTACCAGGAGCAGCAGTAACAGCAGCAGTTGCACAGTAGGGCCCGAGGCAGGGGTTGTGATGAACAGAGGGAGCCAGGGGCTGGGGCACAGGGGAGCCATGTGGCTGACTGTAGGATGTCCCGGACGTGGTGTGTACGGGCTGTACGTGCATTGGAAATAGGAGCTGGGTGGGGGTGGAGCAAGCCTGGAGGGGAGCAGGCTGACTCAGAGTGAGTGCCCTTCTCTAGAAATGATGCCAAAGTCCCTCAGGTCTGTCTGGCCCTGTGCCCCCTTCCCGATACCAAAGCCTAGATTGGGGGTGGAGTGAGTGCAGGTATATGTGCAGGCACAAGGTTATCAGGGTCATGGGCTTAGCTTGGAACCCAAGGCACCACCTGGCAGCACAGGCTTTCCCTGGCACCACCCGGGTGCCTGCCAGCCAGCCAGCCTCAGCTAACCCTGGCCTGCTTCCCAGCCCCAGGCAGGGACAGGAAAAGACAGGGAGCTGGGGCCCCCACGTCCTCTGGCTGAGAGGGGAGCAGGCCTTGTGTATCCCCTGCCCAGCTAGGAAGCAGATGAAGAGGGAGGGCGAGCTGCTCTGGAAGCCTGTGGGTGAGGGGGTGGGTGAATGGGGAGTGGGAGGCGAATTTGAGCATGAATGGAAAACAGTATATGTATGAGAGGGACTTCGATGGGTTTAAACCACATTTATTTTTCGTCTGATTAAACCTTTGCTCAAAAACCCTCATTGGCTTCCCAATGCCTACCAAAGTATCTTCCATCTGCCCATCTTCTCCCTCTGGTCGACTTCTAGGTCCCTTCAACATCTTACCCAAGAGAACTTTCCATCTTATCTCTTACTGCCCTTCATACTAAGGCCAGATTAAACTATTCATTTCCCCCCCCCCCAAACCTTTGACCACCTTTGTTCATCTAGTTCTTGCTGCCTGGAGTGCCAATCACCCTTATAGTCAACAAATATTTATTTAGCATCTACCATATGCCAGGCACTGGGCTAAAAGTACAGGAATAAATAAGACAGCCCTTGTCATGAGGAGCTCACTGTCTAGGGAGTGAGGGCAAACACTATCATAAGATTTAGGAGCGAGAGATGAATTCTGCCTCAGAAGGTAATACAGAAGTAAGCAGATTTGGTCAGGGCTGTGAAGGAGCAGCAGTTTAATTGGTAAAAACAATGGGATGAATGGTATTCTGGGCAAAGGGGAGGCATCAAATATTTTGAACAGGAGAATGACAGAATCCAATTCTCATATTAGGACAGGTTGAGGGCTGTGTATAGAGCATGAATTATAGGGGAAGAGTGGGTAAAAGGAGATGAAGAGTATGAGGACCCCAAGAATGGACTTGGGGTTCCCAGTCTCTGCCTGTTCATTTAGCAAACATTTATTGAGCCTCCTCCAACCCTCCAGGTTCCGCTCTAGGCCTAGGGGGATGCAGCACTGGACTGGAGAACAGCCTCTACTACTCTGTAGCTCACATTCTAGTAAGGTCCCTCTGGCTTCAACATACCAGAAAAAGAGTAAGGCCATCTCAGGAGGTTCATATCTGGAACTAACATTCAGTAGGTACACACCTGTATGGTCATATAGGTTAATTAAATATATTGAAATATTTCTAATTTTGTTATTACTTTAGGGTGCTCCTGGGGCCTCTCCTGACAGCCTCTTTTATCTAAAGAGGTAATGGTGGGCACAGCAGGGGCCCCAGGACCCACTCGAATGCCTCAGCCAGCTTCCACTCTGATGGTGCACCCAATACCATGTTAAATAGTTTTACTAAGACTATACTTTCAGGGATTATTTCTATAGTTTGTTACTAGAGAGGTTTCTCTGAACAGGTAGAGCACAAGCAACCACGAGGAGGAGGTGCAGTGTTCTCCTGAGCGTGAAGCTGGCTCTTAGTGTTGCTTTTGTAACTGCCATTAGCCATAGATGATCATTCTTCTCTGCCTTTGGGAGAGGAAGAGGAAGAGGACACAGTCTGAGTAGCTTTCGGTTTTTAATAAAACATAATTTAAAAAATAGTTTTACTACCTCCCCTGTCTAAATCCCTTCTATTATTCAAAACTCAGCTCAAAGACCACCTCTTCCAGGAAGTCTTTCTTGACTAATTACACCACCGGAAGAGATTTCTGGTGCCTCAGCCACCACAGTGCTTTTCCTGCCCTTGCTAATAACCTTGCCCACCATCTAATTCACATTAGGATGATTTATGACATTTTATCTGCTCTAATAGCCTTGAGCTCCATAACGGCAGGATTCAGTATTTGATTGATTGAATCCTTCTTTTATTCAACAACCATTATTGAGTCTTTTCTCTGCAGATCACCTTGCCTGGGTTTGAGATAAACCAGATTGACTAAGAGGACTTCCCTGCCCTCAGGGAGCTCATCAATGACCTGTGTATGTGTCAAATCACAACTGTTCCAGGGGCATGACATCATGTTTGCATGGCATCAAAAATTATCTGCTTCTTCAGAGTGACTGCCATACTGTATATCAAAACCTGTATGGCTGAACAATAACTGTCCTCCAAGCAGCCAATTTAGGAGGTAATTAGCCTACAATCTAAGCTGCTATTTCTGGAGCCAAATTAAGAGCCATTCATCCATGGCAATCTAACGCAGTGTACACTTTGGATAGTCAGCTCATTGTCTTGAGCAGCTGTCTTGTCAGCACGCTGGTTAGACCCTGACACATGAAAGGTCCATAGTAATATCTCAATTGGATGGACCTGGACAAGATGGAATGTGGTAACAACTAATCTAGTTGAGGTGAAAGAGTTCATGGGGAGCACAGGGGACGGAAGCACCCTCCTAACTGGAGTCTGGAGTCTGTATGTCAGGACATCTTTCTCCGACACAAATCCCAGCTGTATTTCATGTCCCTCTTTCCAAATGTTCTGAATGTTCCTTTTTCCTTCTTAGGTCTCTGTCAGGACCTCTTTGTACACTTCTCTGCGGCACTCTGTCCACACGTCCACACGTCTTCCCGCTCTCTCTGCTGCTTTCTCTCAGTATTTCAGAGTCCAGATCTGTGTCTTGGTGCAGATCTCTCTTTGTTACAGCTCTCTAATTTTCCAAATGCCACTCTGCATGGTGCTCTTGAGCTCTGTCTCTGTGTGTGACTGTGTCTCCGGTCTGGGTGGGGAATGTGGACTCTGACCCTACATCATACCTTCACAGCTGGGAGGCTGCCAAACCCAAAACAGGTTTGAGCTCCCAGAGTCTTGTTCCCTGAGCCTCCCCAGGTTGGAACAGAGTGTACTCAGGACTGACTGGCTGGGGCACTCTCCCCACCTGGTACACAGTCTTAAGGTCAAGTCTTTGGTCATTAGGGTCTGTTTTTATCTCAGGGTTGCAGAGGAGGGAACTATTTGTTGATGGGTAGGAGGAATAAAAAACCCCACAAAAAACAAAAAACAAAACCCTACTCCCCAGCCATGGATTGGAAGCAAAGACAGATCAAAGCCCTTCTGGATCCTTGAGGCTGACCTGTAGTTCTGGTCCACCTCACCATCTGTGTTAGTTTCCTAGGACTGCTGTGACAAATGACCACAAACTGGGTGGCTTAGAACAACAGAATTTTTTTCTCTCACAGTTCTCGAGGCTAGAAATCTGAAATCAAGGTGTTGGCAGGGCCCTGCTTCTTCTGAAGATTCTAGGGTTTCTTCTAGCTTCTCGTGGCTCTAGGCATTCCTTGGCTGCGTCACTCCGATCTCTGCCTCCAACTTCACATGGCCTTCTCCTGTGGTCCCTGTCTCCCCACTGGGTATCTCTTTTAGGAACACTTGTCATTGGATTTAGGGCGCACCAGGATAACCCAGAATGATTTCTTCTCAAGATCTTTAGCTTAATTATATATTCAAAGACACTTTTTTCCAAATGCGTTCACATTCATAGGTTCTAGGAGTTAGGATGTGGACATATCTTTATGGGGACCACCATGTGGCTCACTATGCCATTAGCCATTTAGAACTGAAGTGGATGCACAGGATGAGAAGAAATAGGTTTGTACTTGTGACTCTCATGCCTCCTGCCCATATCCCTCGTCATACTCTTTGTAGGCAGTTTCATCCACTCCCATGGCTTCTATAAGTTGATGACAGCCAAGTATCCCCAGGTTGGACTCTCTCCTCCATGTTAGATCCACAACCACCTGCCTAATGGACATCCCCCCATCCTTAGTGACATGATTGAGTTGCAGGATTAAACTAATCCAGAAGGTAGGGCCTACCTGCATCTGGACTTTTTGGTTGCATGAGCCAATATTGTTATTGTTTAGCCACTTTGAACATAGTCTTACTGATATAAATTACCTCCATGGTCCGGTCCCTGTCTGTCTCTCCAGTTTCTCTTCTCATCACTCTTTCCTTTGCAATCTATGCTCTAGTCTTACTGAACTTCTAGCAGTTCCTTAAATGCACTGTGTGTGTGTGTGTGTGTGTGTGTGTGTGTGTGTGTGTGTGTACGCACGCGCACGTGTGTTATCTCCAAGTCTTTATCCATGCTCTTTGTCTCTCTCACCTCTCCCCCACTGCCAGCCCTGTCCCACCAGGGTCTGCTCATCCTTCAGGTATCAGTTCATGTCACTTCCTCCAAAAAGTCTTCCCTGACTCCTAGACAGGGTCACTCCTGCCTGCATAGAAGACTAGACTTCCCTTGTAACATTTATTTCATTTTACCATGTCTACCATGCTGGACCCATAACAGCAGGGGTCATATTTCTATTCTCCACTATTTCATCTCCATGCCTAGCACAGGAAGTGGCATATAAGAGGCACTTAATTTTCATGGAATAACTGATGATTGTTGTTCAAAGCATCACTAGGGCTTCTCCAGCAGCCAGCGAGTTGAAAGGAGAGGTTGAGGGTAATTAAAGGATAGAGAGGTTGTTGACTGCCCTCTGATCCTCACCCTCTGGCCCCTCCTTCCTTTGGTTTTTGGAGAACTGGGGGTATAGTCTGTTCCAGGTAGAGTATGGGGTGTGCCTGAATTGCTCTGTGGGAGACTTGGTCCCCAGGGCATCAGTTGTCTCCAAGTGTCCCCAGTGTGTCTTCTCAGCTTTGCCCTCTTCTTCCTCCAAAGTTGGATGATTCCCCACCTCTCTTCCATCCACCCAAAGCGCACACACACACACACACACACACACACACACACACACACACACTGGTGACATACCCAAACACATCAGCACCTCAGGTGCTGTGCTCTGTTTTCATCACCTGGGCTCAGGGTGATACTGATTACCATGGATTCAATGTTCCCTTCCTCACTTGAGAGCTCCTAGTGGGGACTGTCCCACATTCTCTTGAGAGAGTATAACCAGTCTTCCACCTTTATAATATCACCATTTTCCTTGGGACCCAAGTCTACGGTATAGTGTGACCCAAACTCTCTCTTTCCTCCATCAGGCCCTTCAAGTTGTTTGTCCCTGATGTAAGTCCAGCATTTCTCCATCCTCACAATTCCTAGAATGTCAGAGAGCTAGAGGAGACTTCAGATCCCTGACAATATCTTGGTTCTTGACTTGAGGCCCAGATTCCTAGGAGTCCAGAGTGATAGGAATAGGGTCTAAAGTCTTTCTAACATTTTGGTTTTTAATAGCTTTTTTCCCCCTAATTACCAAGTAATGCATGCATGCTCAACCAGAAAACTTGGGAAAGGCAGAAAAGTACGTATAAGGGAATTTTAAAACTCACCCTATTTGTCCCATTCACCCCTTTAACTTCAATGATCCAATGCCTGGCACTGACTAGGTGCTTAATAAATATTTGTTGAATCATCTTCAATCTCATCACTCGGAGATAAAAACCACAATTACCTTTTGTTTACTCTTCCAGTCATATATATTATACATAAATGAGATCATATTGTACAAACAGCTTTGTAACCTGCTTTTTTTCTCTCTCAGCAATATACTACGTATGTTTTCCCATATTGATAACTTTTTTACATCATTTTAATGCTTTCATATTATTCCTTCAAATGGCTGTACCATAATTTTCCTAGCCGACTTACTACCTCTAGACATTTAGGTGGTTTCCAGTTTTTTGTTACAAACAACATTGTGCCACACATCCTGGTACATATTTTTGTCCACACAGCTATTTCTTTCTTTCTTTTTTTTTTTTTTTAAAGATTTTATTGGGGAATTGGGGGAGGGGAACAGCATTGGGGAATCAGGGAAGGGGAACAGACAAGTTGCTGTCCTTTTGTTCTTCAGGCTAGTTGTGGAGAACGTCGCTTCACTGGCTCATGTTGGTATCATTGTGCTCTTCCCCGGGTGGGGTGAGGCAGATCCATCACCAGCCACTGGACGGCTGCTCCCCAAGGCTCTTGGCAGCTCACACCAGCTGCCTGCAGCTCACGTTCACTTACAGGAGCCCACTGCAGCCTCACTGCAGCCTACGTCTGCCTTCGCCAGCAACTCATGGCAGCCCAGCTCCAGGTCGAGCTGTTGTTCACCATCTTAGCTGTAGAGGGCGCAGCTTTACTGGCCCTCATGTGGGATCCGAACCAAGGCCCTGCTGCTCAGAGCTGCCATCCCAAGCCAACTCTTAACCAATGCGCCACTTGGCCAGCCCACACACAGCTATTTCTTTAGGATGCATTCCTAGAAGCAGAATTGCTAGGTCATAAGAGTAGGCACATTAAGGGCCTGCTGAGTGGCTCAGTTGGTTAATATCTCGCGCAAGAGTGCAAGCTCTGCCCAACAGCAGTTTGATTCCCCACCCTAGCTGAGCTGCAGCTGAGCTGCTAACAGGTGGCAGGATGGCTCAGCTAGAAAAAAAAAAAAAGAGTAAGCACATTTTAAGATTTCTCATACATACTGACAAAATGGCACTGCCAATTTAATTTACTCTCCAGGTCTACTGCCAATTTTTCAAAAGACCTAAATAAGGAAAATCTAGTACATACTATCTTTGACTAGGTAGCACAGACTAATCAACTCCAAGCTTTTGCGGTTGGCCATAATTAAGCAATTCTGAACCACCGTGTTAATTATTGACACCTGCTGACCAGAAGCTAATTGGATGTCAGATTTTGGAACAAGAAAACGAGTTAGTAACTTAAAACCTATCAACTTTTGTCCGGGATCCAAAATATTTCAAACCTTGTGACTGGTAAGAGTTCCCAGTTGTAAATGCATTGGGAACGACTGAACCTCAGCGTCTGGCGTGGACCCAGGACAGAATATGTACCGTAACTTTTGCCCTCTTCCCTTTCTACAGATGGGACACTGAGGCCCTGCCAGTGTCTGCACCCTCAAGTTTCTTGACTCAAATTCCAGGCTGGCCCCAACTTAGTGCCACTCAGAGGAGGGCCACCCATCTGCCCCACCCGGCCCTAACCCGGCGGGCTCCACGCACCACCCAGGCGTTGGGGCCACGCAGCAGCGGAGACCAGACGCAGTTTGGCTGGCCTCCGCACATACTCCGTACTGCGTGCAGCCTCTCGGCGCCAGGGGGCGCGCTCCTCTCCGCGGCCCCGCCCCCGCCCCCGCCCCCGAAGCGGTTGGGATTTGAATCTCCGGCGGGCTGTGGCCGGAAGTGTCGACCGGTCAGCTAGAGATGGAGAGCTCGGGCCCCAGAGCTCGGTGCCCGGTGCAAGAGCAGCGTGCTCGCTGGGAGCGGAAACGCGCCTGCACCGCCCGGGAGCTGCTGGAGACCGAGCGGCGCTACCAGGAACAGCTGGGGCTGGTGGCCACGGTGCGGGCCCGGCACGCCCTCCCGTCTGGGACGGGGACCCCCGGGTGTGGGAGGGTCCCTGCGAGGTCGGTGACCCCGAATATGCGGGTTCTTGAACTGTCCACGTGCATTTGGGGCCTCCGCCGACTTCTACAGTTTCTAGCTGCGCGTTGGCCTCTTCAGCAGACTGTATACCGGTGTTCTCTCCTTCCGCAGTACTTCGTGGGGATTCTGAGAGCCAAGGGCACCCTGCGACCACCAGAGCGCCAGGCCCTGTTTGGGCCCTGGGAGCTCATTTACGGCGCCAGCCAGTGAGTGGAAGGGGCATGGGGAGAGGGAAGGAGGGACAGCCCTGGCCTCTGCCAGTGCACGGAGCTTGGAGTCGGAGAGAAGCCGGTTTATATTCCGAGTCTGCCAATTACCTCACCTGTGGCCTTGGCCCAGTGCCTTAACCTGCCCCAGTTCTCCATCTGTAAAATGGGTAACAGCACCACCTCCAGGACAGGGTTATGAGAAATGTGGTGTTTGAGCAGTTCTTCGGCAGCTCTTTTATTGTCCTCACCCACGCAGAGAGCTGCTTCCCTACCTGGAAGGAGGGCACTGGGGACAGGGGCTGGAGCGCTTCTGCCCCCACCTGGAGCTCTACACCCAATTTGCTGCCAACGCAGAGAGGTCCCAGACCACCCTGCAGGTAACCTGAAGATGACCTCAAGTCCTTCCGTTCTTCCTCTCGCCCCATACGTTTTCTCTTCTGGAGACCCAAACTTCATTCATACTGTTCCTGCATTTATAGAGCCCTCTGGATGCTACGTTCCCTGTAGAGAGACGGATTCTCTCAGGAGCACACAGCTTACTGAGGGCTGGGGATGTGTACACAGGTGAATACAATATAAGGAGTGGCTTCTTTCCCTACTGCCAACCCTTTCCTCCTCACTCCAGGAGCAACTAAAGAAAAGCAAACGTTTCCGGAGGTTCGTGCGGCTGCAGGAAGGCCGCCCTGAGTTTGGGGGTCTTCAGCTCCAGGATCTGCTCCCTCTGCCTCTGCAGAGGCTCCAGCAGTGAGTGAACTCACCCTGACTCAGCCAACTTCTCCGAGTCTGTATGATTGCTTCCATCAGCTTTGTGGGGTTCCATGGGGTCTGTCCCAATGCCTCACTCCTGGGACAAATTGCTCCTAAAATCCTTTTGCAAGAGTAACCCACTGGACTACCTGAACCCACTGAACTACCTGAGGTCTGCAGCCTCAGGCCCTTAGCTGGGACTGTGGAACCCTACATTGAAGTGAGAGGGGCCTATAAGAGGGCTATCGACAGGGAATCTGGAAGAGTTTGCTGAGATGAGAGGCTGGCCTAGCGTAGAATTTCTGTAGCGGGGGATGAGTTAAGAGCTCATAGTCAGATTGTCTAGCATCCTCCTTGGGTTGATTAACTGTCCTCTTGGGATCTGGCCTCCCAAACAATGGTCTGCCCTTGACTCTTCATTGAGATGGAAGAGGGCCATGGGGTATGAGACCAGGTTTTCCAACAGGGATACAGTAGCCTAAAGCAAATCTTTCCTGGCATTGCAACTGAAGTATGTGTAGGGGGTGATGTGTGTGTCAGGCAGAGGGAATTTTGCCCAGCTCTACTTCCCTTCATAGACTCCCAATTGTCTAATTCCAGGTATGAGAATCTTGTCGTTGCTTTGGCTGAAAACACAAGTCCCAACAGCCCTGACCACCAACAACTCACACGTATGTTCTTGCTCTGCCAAAACTCAAGGCAGGAGGCTGCCTATCCCTTTCTGGTTGTGACCTCCAACAATATCTGGTATGCCTCTATCTTCCTTTGACATATATGCAATGTCCCTATTGTCCTGCCCACTCTTCAAGAAGTCAGACCCTGACCCTGGTCGGCTTTAGGAACAGCCTGTCTTTCACCACCACAAGTCACCCAGAGTCAAAGTTGGAATGAGGTGGGGGATGTTATTCCAGGGGCTGCTCGGCTGATAAGTGAGACTGCCCAGAGAGTCCACACCATTGGTCAGAAACAGAAGAATGAGCAGCGCCTCCGGCGTGTCCAGGCTCTGCTCAGTGGACGCCAGGCAAAGGGGCTTACCTCAGGTAGTCTGCCTACTTCCCCCTCAGCTCTCATCTGCCTTCCTCTACATTCCCAGCATGTACCCCCATTTCCTCAGACTCCCTTTCCTTCTGTTCCCATGGATCATGGTCCTGCAGCTGCACCAGAATAACAGCTCCCCCATCCCTCAGGTCGCTGGTTCCTACGCCAGGGCTGGCTGTTGGTGGTGCCTCCCCGTGGGGAGCCTCGGCCCCGAATGTTTTTTCTGTTCTCTGACGTGCTCCTCATGGCCAAGCCTCGACCCCCATTCCACCTACTGCAGAGTGGCACCTTTGCCTGCCGGGCCCTCTACCCCACGGCCCAGTGTCAACTCCACAGGGTCTTTGGCCACTCAGGAGGCCCTTGTGGTGGACTGCTCAGCGTAAGTAATAGGCAGGAGCCCTAGGTTAGGTAGGAGAGGCCCAAAATATACCTCAAGTGAGTGTGTACTTGTTTATCTCCTCGGCCTGGACCCCTTTCATAGGAACTGAGCCGTCTACATTGAGAGAGGATAACTGGGGCTTGGGGTTTAGAACTAACTCTCACCTCAGTCCTGAATTACCTCCATGGGAGTAGCAAGGCCTTCAGTTTTAGCCTGGACCATTCTGAGCCAATGTACTAAGAGGTGGTCTCTCCTTAGTTGTCCTTTCCCCATGAGAAGCTACTGCTTATGTCCACAGACCAGGAGGAGCTGTTGCAATGGTACCACAGTCTGACTTTAGCCATCAGGTAAGTTGTGTCTTCCCTCGGGATGAGGCCCAGGAGCTAGAAATGAGCAGCTCCGATCCCATCTCATGTCCTCTATCTGTCTGGGAACCCTCACCCCGTAGGTGATTTTGTCTCAGTAGAGTGTTCACGCCAGTGCCTGGACTGTCTTTTCTCCACAGCAGCCAGAAGAACTAGAAGAATCATACAGATTCCAGAACTCAGGATACTTCAGGGATAGGTCAGCAGGGTCAAGAGTATAAAGGAACCTTCTTCAGTGCTAAACAAAACAGAACCTTTCATGGTTTGAAAAAGGTCATTTTGTGTTTGCTTGGGACCAAGCCCACACCGGGTTATTTGACCAGCCCTTAAGAATCAGGAAACCAAATCTGACCCAATTGAACCTCCTCTGAACCAGCCCCTCCAGCACAGATGAGGGGATTTGGGATTGATAAGCTCGGTGCTATATCTGTGGCCAGTCGTCTATCAAGGTTGCAACTTTGCAAAGGTGGCAATTTTTACATTGTATGTAGTTTCTATATTTATTTTACCACTGGATTTTAGTAAAGTTTTGTTCTTTGGAAAGGCCTTTCTGTCTCAGCTATGTGATATAAGAAAAGGGAATTTTGTGCCCTGAAGGCTGGCACGAAGGAGGCCTCAGGAGCTCCCTCTGTCTTCTCAGCTCTCGCACTGGAAGGCAGCATCTTTTTGTCCTAATAAGGGAATCTTTTCAAGAAGGCTCAGTTGTTCTTAGGCACCTAGTATGGGTGTGTGTGTGTGACCAGCTGGAATGGAAAAAGCACACAGGAGCATCCAGTCACAAGAACACACTTTATTTTACTAAACCTTCAGCCACTGTCCCTCCATCCTGGCAGGGGCTGTGACGGGGTCCCTTTGCCACAGCCTTGCTGCATCTTCTCCTTAGCCCCTGTTCCACTCCCCAGGGAGCAGCTAGGTTCCTTGTCTCTGTGCTCCAGTTTAGGGGCTCCTCCCAGGCCTGACTGTCACCAGCATCTTCTTCGTCCTCCTTTATACATAAGTCCTCAGGAAAGGGTATGCTGACTTCTGTGAGGGGAAGGTCAGGCATGTTCCAGTTTCAGAGACTTTGTACCTCCACCAGACTCACCTCCCAACCCCTTACCTGGTTCTGGAAACGCCACACCCTCATTTGGCTTGTTCTTTTGTAGTAGCTGGTGGATGGTGTGTAACTTCATGTTCAGAAGCGCCTGCTGGGCTCCAGCCAGGGTAGTCACGCTACGAATATGTCCACTCAGAGGCTGCCCAATCTATGCCCCCACCTCTCTCACCTACCACACATTGCTCTCCTTACCGCTCAAAAAGGGGGTCCAGCTGGGCCATCAGATTGTTCAGGTGTTGCTCTGTCTGGGCCAGCTGTTGTGTCAACTGGGCCAGCTGTTGCTCTGGAAGTGAAGGAGAAAAGAAGAGCAGTGGTTACTTACCTTCTGCTGCCCCCGACTCCCCCACTAAGCACAGACTTCGGCAACACCCACCTGACTGCAATGATTCCTTCTTGCCTGCCTTCTCCTGGAGAACAGCAGCCTCGTCTTTCCCTTGCTGTGGAAGGAAAGGGCAATACTGCAGCAATAAGGGTCTTCATCATTTCTGAGTCTCCAAAGCCAGTAAAAGGAGGAGGATTTGAGGTAGAGAAAGCTATTGGGTTTTTACCTCAGAGAATCACAATCACATCTAGTCCAGCTTCTCACCCAGGACATGAAGCAACATGTCAGTATGCCCCCACATGTGGTCATTCGGTCTACTGAAACACCTCCAGGAAAGAGCTCCCTCCGGTTTGATAAAGCTCTGGGCATTACTTTATATACAAAGCCAAAAATTGTCCTTCATGTATCTTCTTTCCATGGTGCTGAATAGAGAGCCTTCCCAAATCATGTCTTTTCAGCATGATAGCCCCTCAGGAATTTGAAGACAATGGTCATTTCCCTCCCCTGTCTCCTTCCCCACGTGTTTGGTTGGTTTAATATCACCTTTTTTTTTTTTTCCTTCAGTCAGTGCTTATTTGACACAGTTTCTCTGGTTGCTTTACTGAGCTCGTAGTGCTCTTAAAGTCCCTTATCCTAGCCTGTCAAGTCTATTTGGGAACATGATTAGCTATCCCTATTAGTTATGCCGTCTAGTTTTATATCTAAATTTGTTCAGCCCTCTATTTTCCAATGCAAATGATAGGGGTAGGGCTGAAGATACAGCCCTGGGAGGTACTGCTTTCCATTTCAACAGTTTCAATCCACCAAAATGTACCGTCAGTTCACATTTCAGGGCCTCCTTCCCAAGAATATGAGACTGCTTGGCACTTTGAACTCTAAAAACAGAGGCTACAGTAATCAACTGCTTGTACCAAGGCTGGAGTCTCACCAGCCTTTTGTAGTAGGGACACTTGCTGAGACCAGTTACTATCTGAGTGATCTTAAGCAAGTGACAAGCTCTTCTTTGGACTGATGGGAGGACTAAATGTGATGGTCATTATTTACAACTTACCACCCGCCCTTCACATCCATTACTTCGCTGAATGCTCAATATAATCCCATAATGTTGTAAAGCCAAAGGACCGTTCATTTTATAGACCGGAAGATGCCTCTTGTTCTTGGTACCATAGCGCCCCCACGGGAAATTCAGGCCCGGGGCATCCCCACCCATGGTCGCCCCGCACCTGCAAACACCTGTACAGCACAAAAGCCACGACAGCTGCGGTGTACAGCGCCCCCAAAGGCAACGCCCTGGCCCGGGCTCGCTCGTGCTGATCCTTCGGCTGCGGGCGCCGCCGGGCTTCCGTGGCTCTAGGGCCGACCTGGGTGGGGTCCCCTGCGGAGAAGGGCAAGGCGGGTCAATAGAGCTGGGGCCTGGGACCCGTGGGCAGTCCCAGCCTCCCTCCAGCAGCCCTCGCTGGTACCTGGGTGTGCCTGGAGGTTGGGGCTGGGCTGGTCTCCGCGGACCCCAGGCAGCGCAGACACAAGGAGTAGCCCCAGCATACCCGCAAGCGAGACTGAGCTCGCCATTGCAGGCCGACAGACAGAAGCAGTAAGCGCATGCGTACACGCGCTCCGTCCCTGGTCTTGCTTTGGCCCTCTCCGGGAGGCCACGCCCACTTAGTGTATGAGCGGGGCCAGGTTTTATTTGCATAGGACTGTTGGACCGGCTTTCCTAAATTAGTTAATTTATTATCTATTTAAGTAAAATATTCTATATTAGCCAGAGTGACTCCAAAAGCCTTAGAAGATTATTCCGGAAAGTTGTTTTTATTTTTCACTCCACCAAAATCCTCACCCTAATCATAAAATAAATTATCTGGTAGACTATAAAAAGGGGCGAGTACATCACAATTTTAAGCAGTTCGTGCTGAAGGCCTGTTTCCTAGGCTACAGACGAAGGACTAGTTCCTCACTTTGCGCCTAGGGGAAAGTCCCCGGACCTCGAGGCAGAGAGTGCAGCGTGCGCGGGCACGTAGACCTTCCTTGCTTACACTGTTAAGTCCGCCAAGAAGCGATCCCGCCCAGGGCGGGGGAGACGAGCGGCGTGGCGCAGGGGCGTCCTCCGTCAAGTGTTCTAGTTACGCAGGCAGTGCGCTTTCACGCGCACTAACCACACGGGGCTCATTCTCAGCGCGGCTGTATTTTGGGAAG